CTGCTGGGGGGCAGCCGGCCTGCCCCAGGCCTGGCCCAGCTGTCCCAGTTTCTTCCCTTTAGCCCCAGGGCTGTTCCCTGTTGAGAGGAAGGAGGTGAGGCCATTCCTAAGATAGCATAGGGTTGTGGTGACAGACAACTCTCCCTGTGCCTCCACCTCTCACACAAGGCCAGGCGTCGTCGAAGAGACCAAAATGCCTGCAGATCCTGCTACAGGGAACGAACGCAGTACGCCTTGCATGTTGGGTTTTGGCAGCCAGGATGGCCAAAATCCAGGAGGGGATGTCTGAGGAAGAATGATCGTGAATTCCAAACGGAAAACAAACCCCGGCCTGATTCTAAACTTCTCCCCTGGATGCGCCTGCCAGTGATGCAGCGTGTGTGTGCGCACAGGGGCAGGTACCCTCTGCAATCAGGAAAGAACACCTTTTTCAAAATGGACAAGGTGAAAGCTTAGGATGGTTCTTTCAAATGTAACGGGTGGAGAGAACATTGCAAATTTGGCTACCACTGTTTTATGTCTGAGGTGTATGAAGCTAGCTCCTTCTGTAGTCTGTCCTCCATGGCCTTTAAACAATCAACTACAGCAGGCATGTCAAACTCAAAGGCTAACACGGGCCCAATAAACAAGGTTTAAGTTTATGTGGGCCGCAAAAAAAAAACAAGAGCTTCTATTTTCATAGAAACAGTTTTATTTCGATAGACATGCTGAATGCAAAGGGCTGAAATAAATGAGCCTTCGTTAACATAAAATCATAGAACATTTTAACAAACGTTAATATATTTTCTTGAACATTAACTCACCAGACACTGAATCACTGCACAAATTAATAAGCGTAATGCAAATAAACCTATTTTTCTTGTTCTTTGAAAGCGAAGTATTTCCGGTTGCTCACACCAAACAAGTCAGTCCAAGACTAATAACGTGGCCATCGGCTGCTAAAATATTCGCTGCTAGTATTAGTGGGGAGAAATGTTTCTGACATACTGTTATATTGGCTGAGCCGCAAAAATATTCGTTGTGGGCCACATGTGGCCCACAGGCTGCGAGTTTGACATGCTTGAACTACCGTGACAGTTTGAAGATGGCTGTGTCCTGCCTTCCTAACAGCTCATTCTCTCATCACCAAGGCGGTGGGAGGAAAATATCGCAGGTGGGTGCCTCCCTGGACATTTATTTAGTTCTACACTTATGTCTCTGAACTCAAGGAGCTATATTTCTAATCAAACTATAGGAGAAATGTTTAGTTGTTGAAAATCTCTCAGACTGGCACTTCGCATATTAAGCTGAATTTGGGGTGAGTTTTGTGAGAACAAGACAGGCTCTGCTTTGATAAGTTTGGGGAGGCTGGTGAACACGCATCTGAGGAAAACATTTGGGGGCTCATTATGCGTTGGAATGTGGCATCTTTTGCAAATGTAATGATCCATTATCCAAGTTGAAGGAGAAAATATATATTTGGGTTTCTCTGAGAATTGTAAATTAGATCCTATTGCTTTTGGAAATTGGGAAGAAAGGGTTAGGGAAGATGGGATATAGGGTGAATTTTAAATCCTTCTCAATTAATTAGATCCTATTGCTTTTGGAAATTGGGAAGAAAGGCTTAGGGAAGATGGGATATAGGATAAATTTTAAAGCATTCTCAATAACATATCAAACTGTAAAAGCATTTCTTTGGGGGGTGTTTTCAGTATACAGTGGGGCCTTGACTTACGAGTGTCCCGAGTAACGAATTTTTCGAGATACGAGCCATCTCTCGGCCGATTTTATGCTTTGAGTTGCGAGCTAAAATTCGGGTTACGAGCCAGCTTCAGATACCCCACCGCTAGTTGGCGCAGCGAACGTCACAGTGAACGCCACAACATCAGTCCAGCATCACGTGTCTCACTCATTCACTGTTTGATTTGACATACGAGTAATTTGAGTTATGAGCTCCGTCACGGAACGAATTAAACTCGTAAGTCAAGGCCCCACTGTATTCTGAAGAGAAAAGAGAGCTATGAAAAAAAACCAACAATGTTACCCATTCACAAGATGGGATATAGGGTGAATTTTAAATCCTTCTCAATTAATAACATATCAAACTGTAAAAGCATTTCTTTGGGGGGGGGGTGGTGTTTTCAGTATATTCTGAAGAGAAAAGAGAGCTATGAAAAAAACCAACTTAACGTTACCCATTCATGAAAAAGTGAAATCATCTTTAAATGCCTGGCTTAACAAGTAGATTCCTCTTTACAGACCTTATCTCTGATATTGAATAAAAATTACTTGGTAATTCAGATTTTATGAATCTAGACGGATTGTAGCAGACACTATGCTGTTATTGCCTCCTCAAATTCCAATTCAGTCCTTTTCCAGCATGTCTCAGCCATGTCCTCTGGGTAGATACCCAACCCCAATCCCACAGGCGATTGGCTCAGGTAACCTGTGTGTACACCAATCAGCACCAAGGTGTTTTTATGGCCACA